TTTACAAAGAGACCTTCCAGTATCAAAAAAAAAATTAAAATGCCACACTACAAATTAGCAATTCGGCGAATGCATGCACGTGTGGTGCATGCAGTTTGCAGTGCCGCAGATGGGTTTGCGGTGCCAAAAACCAGACGTGCACACTTATGGGGATACTCCCACTGATTGGTAATTTGCCTCCAAATGCTGTTGCTGCTCTGTCCTAGCCTCCCCAAAGAATTCTGTCTGTTTTCTTCATCTCCCTGCCTACCTTTTACCTTTAATTCAACCTCTATTAGCTCTCAAACACCCCTCAAACTATTGGCTTTCTATTACCAGAGTGGTTTTGTCCTGTGGTTTTTTGATTTCTGCATTCATTACTGTGTTCAGAATGAGTTCCCTGAGCTATATTGATTGTTTTAATTGGATAATTCCTGGGTGCTCTGAGCATGTTTTAATGTGTTGGTGAGCTTACATTAAAATAAATGTTTTACAAAAGTAATGGGATTAAAGAATTAGCTGGGCTGTACTGACATGGAGACTTAACACCTGCCATTGATTACAACATGATTATACCATTATACATTGCTTCCCTTCTGCTTTGCTGCACAGTATTTCCATTCACATGAAAGGAGAAAAAGGTTTTACTGAACTGGAAGACATTATGTTCAGGGAAGACCCGTAACTCAAAACACTTTGGTATTTTAATGGTCCAGTGTTTTACCTGGAGAACTCCCTGCTCTAAACTTTTGTATTTGGTTATTTTTATCATTCAACTGTTTATGGGCAGCTGCCATTTAAAAAAATATTGCATATGATTGCAGGTTAAGATGAAAGCAAATGCCACATATTCCATCTTCCTTTCGTAATAAAGAATCAGGAAACCATAGCTGTGAGGGAGAGTAAAACTGCAGAAAGAAAGGTTTCCCCAGAGATGAATTAGATATTGACTTGAAAGTCACTTGCATCTACAGATAAATTAACATTCTGGTTAAAAAAGCAGAGAAATGCATATATGATATACAAAGACTCTTCCTAGTGGTCTTAAGAGAGCAGTTCAATGGCATAGCGTTTCACTGGGAAACCCCAAATAACCCAAAAGCTAAATTTGAATAGGTAAGGCATTGCAGTTTCAAGGTACTCTGCAGACACCATCCCCACATGCCTCTTGTCATGTTGGAAAGTTTTACAATTTTTGCAGCTTTAGACAGAAAGTCATAGGTTAAGAGGACCGTTCAAATGTAGCTGCTTTAAAAGAAAAACAAGTTAAAAGTTGCCTTAGAGTTTTCTACCTGCTCCCAAGTCCTTCTGCCAACATTAGTTTTCTTACACTCATGTTATAGGTGATGTGTAACAGCAATAGGTACCTTTTTTTCACCTGGAAGCCCAGGCTACTGCTGTATGCCCCGAACTTCACTTGGAACTGAAAATGTGAGCATATGTATATCGTTCCTTTACACCAGTAGCAGAAATCTGGGTTGAAGGATAACTGAGAAAGTGGTAGGCAGAATCTCTATAAAGAAGCAAAGAGCAATGTTGCCAAAGTAACAATTTTATCACTAGACAATTTTTGGGGAGGTTCCTAACTTCCTACTAACAAGATTTTATCAAAATGTAAGTATCAGTTTATTATATGTCATATTTGGTAAATTACCCAGTGATAGTTTTCATAATATTTGAAGATTTAAGGTCTACCTAGTGACAACTAACAACTTTTCAAGCTTTGGATAATTTCTGCTTACAGTAGCTGGAAGCACTGCCTGAGAGACAGGCAGAGTCACTTTAGAAATGATGTTATTTTCCTATTAGTGATAAAGTCATTTGTTCAGCCTTTGGAGAAAGTGATTCTTCCTACTTTTGTCAGATAACATAGAGTGTTCAGTACGTGGAAGAGGTATAGGATATCTTGTAGAAGCAAGCCTTCCAGTACTTGTCCAAAACCATGGGGCAGAGTCATGATTCAAACCCATGAACTCCTAACACTCTGCCCTATACTCAGACCAGTAGTAAATGCTACCTTTAGACTGATGCTTTCTCTATTGGTTTACATAGTTTGTTTAGTTAAAATGTTGCCCACTATCTTGTACGTAGTCTTCCAACCAATTTGCTCTTAAACAATCTGTGCTTGCAGGAATTTTACAACAATAACAATCCTGTGTCTGTATCACACTTTTGTAGGCGTATATGCTTCAGTGCTCTCTTCATGGCTATCCCAAGCCCTCCAGTCAAAATCAAAACATGGCTAGACTCTGATGAAGCTCACTGGCAGGTACAGAACACACCAATCCTTTCCCTCAATATGGTGATATGCATATTGTTCTTTGGGATCAGTATCATACAGCTAAGGACATTTAGTCACCTGGACAAATACAGTGAAGGACTGTTTTTGGATATTTCTGTGACTAAGTGAAGGAGCCACATGGATGAGATATTCCATGTTTTTTATTCATTTTAGGTAAACAGTCAGGGAGAAAGAAGTGGATTACATTGTGCCACAGTGGTCCCAGTGCAGAATACATTGTTTCAGAGGAAATTCACAAATGTTTTATTCTTCAGGGGGCCATAATG